TTGAATTGAGATATTATGACATTTACACCTCTCTCTCTCTCTCTCTCTCTCTCGTGTTTATTATCTAATCTCGTTTTTCCCAAACTTAAATGGTCCGATATATGATGTTTTATTTACTATTTAATTAAATTTTTATTTTCTGAATGTCGATAAACTTGTATATATTGGATGTTTGTTTGCTGTGATTGTAATACATATATAATTGTATTGATTCCAGACTCACGACAAGCATAAGGCCGAGTGGACGGGTCAATGCAAACAACACATAGCATCCGCCGAACTCTTGGAATCAGCCAATAAATCGACATCACATTCAAAGCTTATATCGTCGCTAAAAGTCTAACGTTTAGCCAATTATAGCAATATTACATCTAATTCTCTCAAAACTCAATTTTCTTTTGTATTTATACTAAAAAGTAATGAAAATATTGGTTAATATATACTGTATATCATCTTATAATAAGAATTTTGGTTTTTATTTACAAACAGAAGCTTTTTCTAAAAAGCCGACCAAAATATTTATGTAATTTTTTTAAGACATAGTTTTGCAAAGTATTCAACAAATCATAGTATAATTTGTATTTATAAGTATAAAATTCATTTCATAAGTATTTTCTATTATTATATAAAAGTTTTCTTTTTTCCCCCTAAAAATAGAGCCAAACATTTGCCAAAATTATATAAAATTATTATTATTTAAAATTGTAAAATATGTGCCTTTTATGGGATTTTATTTAACACATAATAGAATTGATTTGAATGCAAAGCGGATCTAAATATTTATATATTTTATATTCATTTGTATTTATAATTCTTTGAAAAGCAATTTTCACTTTTATTTTTCATATAATTTTTTCACATGAATTTCATTGAGTGATTCATTTGGAAAAAACTGTATAACAAATGCATCTCTTATTGCTTTTCAATAAAAATATTTCACTCTCTCAGCGAGTGTTGTGTTATTTGTTTTATATATAAATTTGCTAAACATTTATATAATTTATAATTAGTTTTAACTCATCACCACTACTACTGGTACTCATCCCATACTGTCTCTAATCAATGGCAATATAAATATTGTTTTTAAAAATTCTTGTATACAAAAAGCTGGTTTCAATACTTTGAGACTAGTTTTTCATAATTACACGTAAACTAAATGCTAAAATAGTCGCACATTTTGTATGTGTTTTTCTTTTTATTCTTCTAAAATTCAAATTTATTCAACAAAAATAGTGATCAAAGAGTTATCGCACAAAATCTATCTCTTTCTTCAACCAAAACAAATTCATACGTCAATTATTATATTAAAAATTTAAATTTTCATTTTATTGCCGAATATTCTCAATCAGATATTCATTCATTCAGTTTATATTATAATAGTTTTTAAATTTATTTCGACACTATTTTTATTATTTTATATATATTTTGTTAACTGATTAACTGATATCTGCAAAAACTGTTTGGCCTTAAAAACACACTCTGACTTCATGTCCTCAACAATAATTATTACATTATTATAACAATTTTCAATTGAGTGATAAGAGTTACTACAAGTGTAGGAAATGCTAAAAATATTACAATTGTTTTGATAAGTATTTTTGCTTTAAATATTCAATTAATAAACAATAAAATATGACAATAATTATGCGATAAAGACTTCATTCACCTCTTCCTCTGCTATAAGGCCTTTGTTTCGATCAAACATTTAAAGGAAACTTGATTTCATAAATAAGTTATAAATAATAACTTGTTATCTCTTTTACCACTCAAGAAGACGTCAATCATTCATGCATTGAATATAAGTCAATGCTTTTGACTTCTCATAACTTATATTTTATGAGAGATTCAGTGGTTATTTACACTTTGGCTGTAAATCTATTTACGAGTTAACAAACTTTCCTCACGTTTTCTTCTAATTAATAGTCTTAACCGAAAAACTCACCAAATATTTGAAGAATAATGACTGGAGAACATTGGAAATATGAAATCATATTAAGTTAAGACATAATTATAATTTACATACATAACAACATTTCGGATTTTATATGAAATGCATCGCGTTTTGTGTCATAATTATACGTTTATGACAAAACATATTATAATGTCGGCAATGAAATAATGAATTTCTTTTAAACTTTCTCTTAACCTTTCATTCATGTCTATAATTAAAGTCAATGAATGAACACAACATTAAACACAAGAGAAGTGAGAGAGAAGTGAATGATATGAAAAATACCCAAAAACTTAATTGTATTAAAGTTAAGCACATGTATAAAAGAGTGTGAAGTTTTATGTTTTTTGTTTAATTTGCAAATTAATTAAATGGTTTTTAAATGCCACACAAGATGATTGATTGCAATCATTGTGTAACCAATTTTCAACACAACTTAATTATGAAATACTGTTAAAACCTTAAATTTAACACTAATTATACAGATTCTGTACTCAATTATAAGCGAGATTTTGATTAGTATACCTTTGATAAATGTTTTATATACAGCATACTGTTATAATATACAGCTCAATTAAGTTACTTATAAAATCTAACACTTATTTCCTTTATTTCCTCTTAAATTCTTCTTATTAATGAAATGATATTATTTTTAAAATAAATGTTTGTATTTTTTATTTTAAACATTAAGGACTGAATAAAATGGGAATAATCCTAACATAGGGGTTAAAAACTAATAAACATAGATTTAAACATGATATGTAATTAAACTATAATCAATTTTTATCACTGGATATCACTTTTATCGATATAGCGCTGATAAACATTGCGCTGTAACAAACATTTCATAAATATCTTTGAATATAATTTTGAATATTTAAATATAATTCGGGAAAATAGGGATTTAATTATTATAAATTGAATTAATGGCTAAATTGGTGTCCAATTGAGTGACCAATAATTTTAAGCTTTGGTCACTTTTTGGTTGGATTGTCGTCTAATCTGCTGACGTCTCTCGCATTCTGTGATTACATACAAAGGAAGCAAATGATTAGTTTTGTCTTCACATCATATCAATCAATAAATGATTCTTCAATTGTAGTACAAAAGGCCAGAATTATTACAATTAATAAATTAAAGATCTTCACAAACATTAATAATTAATTTGATTAACGATTTAGAAAGAACTGTCCGCCGATTGAAGTCAGGTAATAATAATTTAAATATTTTAAACAATTTTTATTCAATTTATTTAATGAAAAACTAATTTAAATAAATTGAATTAAAATACAAATATAGTAATTAATGTCTATAATTAACTTAAAACATAAAATATCAAATATTTTCATAAAATATAAAATTACTAAATAAGAGTCAGAATAATTTCAAACATTCAATAATAATAATTATAGTAAAATAAGCTTAAAATAAAAATATTCTTGGTTATAATTAGAAAAAGTCTAGAAAAAAATCAATTATATAATTGATTAAAACACAGAAAATAGTAAAAAAGTAAAAATTGAAGCAAATATTCAAAAGTCATATGAATTTCTCAAATGTTTGGCATAAAAGTGAAGCTCTAAATGATTAGAACCGTTAGATTTTGTGAGCAATTGATTACACTTTTCTACCGTAACCTTCGTTTCTCTTGGATTCGGTGCCAACAAGTCTTTGCTGATCATTAGACGCACCTGAAAGGTCTTCAACACCGGCCCCATTGCCCGCCGGAATCAAAATGATGCCACCGTTTCCGTACTGTCCGTATTGTCCGTTTCCGTAGTTCCCAATCGGTATGGCTCGCAGTCCTTGAAGATTCTGGCCGTTGCCGACGGGCCCACCAAAGCCTCGGAAACCTTGTAGTTGTTGCAAATTGCCTCCCAATGGGATTAAACCGTAACCAAACTGTCCTCCTTGTTGTTGTTGTTGTCCGCCAAAGCCAATCGGTGCCGCTCCTCCGCCAACGCCAACGAATCCGATTCCACCGCCCAATGGATTAATGCCCTGAACTCTTGTAAATCCGCCATTTATTGGGCCACCAATAGGACCGCCAGCGATACGTATTCCGCCAACACCTGCGCCACTGCTAACCGGACCAAATGGTCCGGGAAGGGGACCCACTTGACCACCAACTGGTCCCGTGATTCCCTGTCCACCGAATCTTAATCCTTGTCCGCCGGCAATACCGCCACCAATTGGGCCAATGGGAGCGTTAATAAGTCCGGGTCCCTGAGGAATGCCAACGGATCCTCTAATGCCACCGATGGGACCTCTGGGAGGAGGGGGTCTAACAAGTCCGGGGCTTACAATTCCGGGTCCAGCGATCGGTGGTCTCGGAATGGGGCCAACAGCTGGTCCACCGATACCAATGGGACCAATGGGTCGGGCTTGAGGTCCCGGCGCGGGTCGAGGTCTGCCAGCATTGGCCGCTTCCCACTGAGAGGTGAGTTCAGCGGCTGTCGGCGCCGATGAGAGAAACTGAACGTCGGCTGGATTTTGGGATTCGGTTCCGATTTCATTAGTGATTACATTAGCTCTGATGTCAATATTTTATTAAAGCAAACATTAGAAACCACTTATCAATAACAAACTGAATGATCGATACCTGAATCCATTCTCATCGGCGATGTACTCAACCCGTCTCTGTTGTCCGTCAGCGCCGAGTAATGTATAAAAACCAGTGACTCTTCCGTCGGCATCGCCTATAAATCAGATGTAATTTAAGGCACATTTAGATTTGACGAAGAATTAAGTGTCAGTGAATAATACCGGTCTCTTCTCTGGCATTGAAGGTCCCGTCATCGTTGGGAGACCTGAGGTATCAGAATTGGGGTTATATTTACTCCGTTATAATGTATCACATGATTGGACGTACGTATAGGCAAAAGAGTACGGTTCGGGCGCCGGGTGTTGCTCTTCGGGAGGCAACTGACCATTAATTGTGGCAATAAAACACAAAACCAATAATAACTGAAACAAAGTGTTGGTTTAACAACAAAAATTGCAAAATTATAGTCAACAAGTGTTACACACGAAGAATAATGAATTTCATACCGAAAACATTTTTAACTAATCTTAAGATTACTTCCAAACTATCGATTCTCCAGAAGAGAGTGAAATGGAAAGTGATGTGAAAGTGTTGTCTTATATATGAGCCCAAAGGGCGTCATATATTACGAAGAGTGCCGTCCCTGAAGTTGTTCACTATAAAGAAGTGACCCATTAATAGACCTCTCATGTGCTAAAGACATGATTTTCCTCATAAGATGTACGACCAGATGAGCGGACGATTCGCTCATCACTCGACTCGTGCGGTCGTTAATTAAGTGACAAATTGTCTGCTTTTTTAGGAAATATTTACTAATTATTTGTCAACAGAATTACAGAATAAGTTCTTTGAGATTATGGGACAAAATTAAGAATAAATAAAAATGTGTTTTTAGTGTGGATTTTGTGCTTAATTTTTTCTTCATTGACGAAAAACAAGGCTTTATGTAATACACAAGACGTGCCGTAATCTGTATTGGATTCATGTTTGTGTTGTGTATGTAATGCAACCCAAATCACAGCCGCTCTCATCTAAAAACAGTGATCCCTTCACTTCTATACCAAAATTAATAAGACCGGAGGCAATGAGATATGATTTCAAACTGTTTTTCTTGTTTTCCATTCAATTTTAATCTAAAAGAATGAGAGAAAGAAAGAAAAGCATTTAACTGTTTATTACTTTAGCAAAAAAGTAATTGAATTCTAGTAGAGTTTTATGTTTTTGGATGAGAGCGGCTGTGATTTGGGTTGCATTACATACACAACAC